CCTTTTGCAATATATTTGAAGGTAGGTAAATGACGATTTACCAATTTCCACCACGAAAAACGAAAAAGAATGTTAGGTTTTAAGTGAATTGAAACTCCTAGATCCTTTGAGATTCATTGAAATTTTCAATGGCATGTTTAAATCTCGATTGTGCCCTTTAAGTTTGTGAATGGCATGCCGAGGATCACAAACAAGGTGTGAATAACCATGCAAATTAGCTTGGTACACCCAATGTTACAAACCACCTAATCAATGTGACGGTTAACCACATACGCTCCATTGATCTATGATTAACATCAAGCTCCCCTTTGTCACGCACTGTCAGTCCCAGGTTAGTGTGCCGGTTAACCACACACGCTCCACTAACGACTTAACAAAGTGCAAAATGCAATTTCATGGGTTAGCACCAAATTCACATTTTTCCTAAGTAACTAAGATTGGGAATTTAATAAAAGTTTAGTTACTTTATAATTATCATCATACTTATAATGAAAATTAATTTCCTATTATACCCGTTCGGCTAGCGACCCTCCACCAGTCAAGGAAGCGGTGGGTGAGAGTGGACACCCATTAAACTGCCATTTTGTAGGCAGTAACCTTATACCCCCTTATGGACCGGCTTCATGAATGAGGCCTACTAACGGTAAGACTGACTTATTCTTATACATATATATAAATATTAAACCTATAATATTATAATAGTATAAGTGTAAAATTTTAACTTTTAATACTCTAGGGTTTGGAACTAAAGTATTCAAAAGGTGAAACTTTACAAATTCCAAAACTGGAGGGCAAGTTTTGAAACTTATCAAAACTTTTCAAATCCATAGCTTATGAGTTTAATATAGGTTTTAATGAAAAGACTCTTGAAAATCCATAACTTGAGGACAAGTTATGGAGTTCATAAAATGATTTATGGGAAAAAGACTCTTTAAGTTCATAACCTATTATTTTAATGATCTCTTTAAAAGAAAACTTTTCATTTTCTATAACTTGAGGACAAGTTATGGAATTCATCAAAACCATTTAGATCAAAAATTCTAACAAGAAAATCAAAAAAAAATTGTCTATGATCTAAATTAAACTCATAAGAACAAGACAATTCATATCAAACAAATTTCATGTAATTATCCTAACCATATAAACTAATACAAAACATGAAACTTTGACAATTATCTTTTAAATTGGATAAGCATGATCATTACCACATCAAAAACAAGTTTATAAGTTCAAAAACAGTTTAGGGTAATGATCCTAGTCCAATTCCAGCTTTAAAACTCGAAATTCTGCATCCAAGAGCACCAACTCGTCGAGTGTATGAACTGACTCGGCGAGTTGGTCAGTTTATAGGGTGGACTCGTCGAGTTCCCAGTGGACTGGCGAGTCCACTGTCCAGACAGTAGAAAATCGATTTTTTTAGCTTTTGAAAGCAAGTAGCATCAAGTATAATGGAAAACAACCCTAGGCTTTGATACCACTGAAGGGTTTTGAGCATTCTAACACTCCTATGGTGTACATGCAACCCTAGATGCTTTGGATCTATGTTTCTCTAATATACATGCAAGCTTTCAATTTTCCAAAGCATCATCCTAACTAGCATACAATGGAGTATCTTTACTACAAAATTTTAGTTAGATGACATACCTTTTGTTGTAGTTGGAAACCTTTGGACCTTTAAGAACTTAGCACCAATAGTGTGAATGCCTCAAATGGAATCACAACACACCTTTGGATAAAAGTTGACTTTTGAGAGAATATCCTCACACCAAAATCGGCTCAATGATCTTTCAAGAACTAATGCTCAATTTTGGAGGCTAAGGGGATTCTTATATAGTGTGGCTTAATTAGGGTTACACCATGCAAACCCTAATGTGCATGACTTTCCACATTCCTTAGGCTCAATGGGTTTTAACCTTCATGGAGTATCCATGGTTCACCACATGGGTTTAGTCCAACATAAAGAACTATGGATCACAAGCCCACTTTATAAGAATGAATGATTTACCAAATCAATCCCCATTTATTTAATTAGTCTCTTTTGATCACAAAATTAATTCCAAACTAATTCTTGATCAATACTAATTAAATAATATGATTTCATATTAATATATTAGAACTTAAAATATATTAACAAATCATAAATAACCTATTCTCAAAAGTACATCCTATCAAATTGTCCTGATGATATGCAACCCAAATGAACCATGCTACTCTCGGGTCAAGTACATACCAATAATAGTTATGGGCTTAGACACCTAATCCAACAATTTTGTGATATGTGGTACACTAGATGTAGTAGAGATATGTGGTATGGTAGTTAGTTATATGCTAAGTGGTATGCTAGTGATTATATGATACTTGCAGGGAAGACCATGGGGGGAGCCCATGGCACTTGGATAAGACTACGTGGGGGAGCCCATGGCTTAGTAGTTAAGACCATGGGGGAGCCCATGGTAGTCGAATGAAAGACCATGTGGGGGAGCCCATGGCTTGTTGGTTAAAGACCATGGGGGAGCCCATGGAACTTTGGTATAAGACTATGTGGGGGGAGCCCATGGCATCCTTATATGTTTGTATACATGGCTGATATGGTATATGTAGCTTTTATAGTTGATATGATATGTGTTTATGTGGATTGTGTGTGGGGTATGCCCTGGGGAACTCACTAAGCATTAGCTTACAGTTTGTTGATTTGTTTCAGGTACATCTGAGCCTAAGGACAAAGGCAAGGCTTGATGACGCGACGTGCACTCTCCGACATTTGTTTTGATGGGACAATCTGATGTTTTGAATAAAATGTTAAATGTTATGAATTTTGAAAACAGTGGTTAATATTACTTCACATTTTATGGGAATGTTTGGTTAATTGAAAATGAAAATTTTATTTGAAAAATTTGGGTCGTTACATCTATGCTTAGCAATAGGGGTGAAATAGACCTAATACCGGTTGAAAGATATCGAATGGAGTGAAATAGACCAAGCACTGGTTGAAAGATAGCGAAGGGGTGAAATATTGAAAGATACCAAAGGGGGTGAAATAGACCCAATACTGGTTGAAAGATACCGAAGGGAGTGAAATAGACCCGATTTAGTTTCAAGTTGTTATGTATGTTTGGTATGTGGTATTGTGAGGAACTCACTAAGCTTTGTGCTTATAGTTTATGTTTAAAATGTTTTCAGGTACTACTGGTTTCAAAAGGAAGGGCCCGGCTTGATCACACTCCATCTCCTGGAGACTTATTCCGCATTGTCTATTTATGGTTTTTCTCTGATGATTTGAGAATACTTTTATTATGACCATCTTTTGGGATAATGAATGAATGATTTTGACTTATTTAAAATGACATTTTTACTCGGTATTTTTGAGTCGTTACACATCCATATCCAAATTCTATATCCTTGGATTGTCAAGATCGACTAGGTAGGCTCTGGAAACTTATACTTCTTTTTGATGGACTATAATATTTGTGGGCTTGATTTTGGCATCAAGAAAAAGAAGAGTTGTATTTTGCTTGATCATTGTCATGGTGCGTGATTACATTAAAAGAGTTTTGGTTTGTGCTCTAGATCATTCAAGGAAAAGAAAGGAATCATTTAACACAAAGAAAGGTATACCATTCGACCCTCTCTATAGGGTTTCAGTTTTTGTTGGTTCTAGTCATGAACTTGTGATCCTTGATGCAATATAATGTAATAGTTTTCATTTTTCTTCCGTTGCATTTGTTTGTAAAAACCATCATACCATTTTGTTCTAACGGTATTGGAAGTCATTTAGGCTCTCTCTTAAAGTCGTTTGGCTATCAATTCATAATGAAGAAGCTCAGCACCATGGTACCATTACCATATAGTGTAGTTTACTCAAAACGTCTGACATTATGCTTTGTTCTTTAGGAAGCCATAAACAGGAGCTTTAAAGAGACGACAAAATGAGGATTTTGGAATGTACACATTAAGTAACTTGTGTGTTTTCGTAGTTCTCAAATAGTCTTTCACGCAGATCTATTCTTTGATAGTTTAATGCCACTTTGCTTATAATTAATGGATGTGGAACAAGTTAAAAAAAAACAAAAAAAAAACAAATTGTTGGCATGATTTTATCTATAAAATTCAAAGGATAATGACTTAAAAGGGTAATATATTTTTCAATTTGTACACATTTGGTCACTGATTTTTTTTTCGTCCACATTTACCCCTTCAACTTGTTAAACTATACACATTCAGTCCTTATGACTGGTTACTCCAGGTTTGCCGGAAAAAATGACTTAATAGGGTAATATATTTCTCATATTGTACACATTTAGTCCTTAATATTTTTGTACAAATTCAGCCCTTAATATTCTTTTTGTTTCAAAATATGTCATTTTTGTTTTTGTACTCATTCAGTACTTATGAATGATTTCTTTAGTTTTTCTCACGACATCTTACGTGGGACAATCATTGTTGAAGTGTGTGAGGTTGTTGATGTTTATGTGTAACGTCTCATTTTCACAACTAAAATTTTTCATTTTTAAATAAGGAAAAGGTCCCTAACACTACTAGAAAAACAACCTTTTACGACGTGCAATGCGTGTCGTAAAACGCTCAGACGACGCGCAAATGTGCGTCAAGGAAGACCCTGTCATAACGAGAGACGACACGCTTTTACGCGTCGTCTATAGACGACGCGCATTTATGACACGCAATGTGTATCATTAAAACCCCTGTCAAGAAAGGTCATGTCATAAATGAAGATGACACACCGTTTTGCGTATCGTAAATTTAAATGTTAAAAAAATATATATTTATATATTTATTAATTTTTAAATTAAATTTTCATTTAATGTCTCATAATAGAAATAAAATACCATATACAAAAAATACAATCCATTGCATAAAATTTAATGTCATACAATTCTATTTCTTACAATATATAAATTTGCATTCATCTAATCTACTCTGTGTTTCATACTAACAATGGAAATGAAGAACGCAACACTTGCATTTGCAGCATCTTATCTCTTTCAGCTTGAGCTTTCTTTTCCTCTTCTAACTCCAGAGCTATTCGCTTTCATCAACCCTGTAAACACAACACAAAATCACTTGTCATTTTCATTCTACTTTTAAAATTAATTCTTATTAGGACATTCTACTTTTAAACCTACCAATCTAGCAAATTTTTCAAAGAATATAATTTATAATTTTTTTTATGGAAAGTACATTGCTATTTCTTAAATACAAGATGTTACAAATCAAGAAACTTACATGGACTACTGACCACCAGTTTTTCCTGCATCATCTGAGTATATATATGAATATTACCCTTGTCTAAAGTACTTGAATGAAGTGGATGAAGTGGATGTGTATCATACAAATAAGATTCTCTCATAAAAAATGTATTAAGCAAAATACCTAATTTGCCCCTCCACTAATAAGATTCTCTTTATTTGTTGATTTTCGCATATTACCCTTGTCTAAAGTGCTTGAATGAAGTGGATGTGTATCATACAAAAAGAATGGAACAAGATATTACTAAAATACAGTTTCATAGTCTAGGCCTTGGTTATCCTCTGGTGAATAATTGTCTAAACTTATATCAACAAAGTTGATTGCATTGTAGTTCTTAATGAATCTCATGTACAAGTGTACCATTTTTTTAACTCTAATGTTTGTAGCATATATTTGGTTATTGATTTTTTTGTCATTGTAAGCACATCACAATTCTTGCATGTATATATATTTAGCAATGTTAACCAGTGGAAGAAAAACAAAAGGATATATGTATGAGTCAACTATACCAGTTATCACCTGTTAGGGACTTTGGGTTTCAAATTCACTTGTTAAAATGGAAATCGTATATTACTTACTGTATGAGTAAGGTAATAAACAACGAAAGATAGTAATAACAATCTGGCATTGAAGAATGTATAGAGGAATGGATAGTAAGAAACCTTGAGCTCTTGTAATAACTGTTCAACACGCTTAATAGTTCGCAATCCTGCTGAAGAGCTTGCAGCTTCCACCATTTGATCCAGTGCATAGGTTCTCAAGTTCACCCGAAGCTGCACACAAGAAATAATGATATGATTTCCTTCAGAGTACAAACATGAAAAAAAAAAAGAAGCAAACAGCTCTTGATTGATATGTGGGGCAGGTGTTGAATTAAGAAACATACAGGTATTTACCATTCATGTCAATATTATATTATATATATATATATATATATATATATATATATATATATATATATATATGTGTATATATATATATATATATATATATATATAGAAGCAATGGCACATAAAGACTTGCCATACCATGCGAAGGGAAGCTGAAGCAACAGCAGCATTGTCTGCCATTGACATCAAAGGTGCAACACCTCCACCTCCACCTGCATACTAGAAGTTAATGCGGTATCAGCAGGAGCACCAGTTTTCTCCACGCCTTCTGGACTAATATTTGATGTGACAGCCAACTCTGCATCTTGAGCAGCCTGAAAAACACATAACCAAGTATTATCTTTTCAGAAAATAAGGGGCATAGGAAGCTTAATCCTTCACATCGATCCACAAGTTCATAAAATTACTAAAATTGCTATTAAACACTTCACAAGATTACAAAACTTACCTTTGCAGCCATACGTGACTCGGTTATTTTCTTAGCTTCAGAAAGAACCTGAAACAAAAAGCTTATGTTCCATACTAATACTATAAGAAAAAAAAGGCTTTGATTATTTTAAGGGAAAAATGCATACCTCAGCATCTTTACGCTCTTGGTGCTTTGTTTGGGAGAGAACCATGGACAATGCACGCTTACGCTCTATCTCTTGAGAGATATTGTCTGGGAGAGAACCATAGACAACTGTTGGTAATAATGAAGACAAGAAAAAGAAAGCATCCGATGACTACAAAATAATAAGCTATTACAATGCAGAATGCTCAAGTCAATGACCAACAACTTCATGCAAAAGTAACTGTCATGAAAAGGAAGAAATAACATCTACATTGTTGTATTTTGCAAAGGAATAATCTCCTGGCGGTGGAGTTCCATTTACAACTCTAACCTATAAAAGTTCAGAAGCAAAATACATTTTATGAATACCTCCAAATCACAAAAAGAAAAATGTACAGAATAATATACCCAATGGTACAGCTGCAAGTTATCTTTTCGAGCAGAATTTGTGAAAGCAAGCCATTCCCAAGTTATCTGAAGAACAAAGAGTCACCAGTAAGTGTCCGAGATAAGAACAACATGCATCAATGAGGATATCAGGTAGGAAGTGATCAACTGATGAACAAAAGAGTGAATGTGATTAAAAGTCAATATGTACGACACGTGTGACTTGTGATATCACTTATAATATCCTACACAAAAGACTGAGGCTGAATAAAGGTGATCCCATGCCTCCCACTACAATTACTAAGTAGTTCAATAATCTAAGAGACCTATCAAAGAATCAACCCATGCATGATGTAATTCTTCAAAGCATGTGTTGATGAAATGGTCAGCAGACTTGAGCACATAGTTCACTTCTGCAGTAGAGGGGACTCATTTTTTTTGGCAAATTTGAAATACTGGGCTGTAATTATTGACAATGTCCAAGTAAACACGAATTGAATTGCAGATGGGGTGATACATTAGTAAATAATTAACTAATACCCAACTAGAATAGCAACTTTGCAAGCAAGAATCCCCAGTCCAATAAACTTACAAACATTATACTTGAGCAACTTGGGAGAGAAATTAGAAAAGGTCACAAGCCAACCTTCTCATTTTCAGGTTGATGATGCTTTTTTAACTGATTGGGATCAATGGAAGGCATAAGAGGCGCCACACCACCTGTAAGCGCATAAACCTACAACCATAAATGCTTCAAAAAATCAAGAAACCACACAAACAATCTCAAAGGTATGTATGCATGTAATGTACAAACCTCGCGCGAAATGCCATCGGGTTTTCTCTGAGAATCCTTCTGGGGTCTCGATTTCTTTTCCTATGGTATGGGCAGTGAAATTTTCGGTATTCCTAGAATGTCCTTGGCATCCATTATCGAAGTTAGGGTTTTGACGTCAGTCCTTGTAATACAGACCAATCAATATTGTATGAGAAACTGCAGAAAACAAACAAATATTAAGTTGTAATAATGAAAATGAAACTGAAAATGATAACTTACCACTATAGTAGCGATTCTTCAGTTCCTCCATTGTTCGAGATGATGAAAATCTATCAGCAATCACAGAGAATCGCAGATCAAAACGTTCACACAAATCAAACAGTTCATCCGTCTCTTCTTTGGTCCATGTCTGGCATACACAATTTTAGATTGCTCAAAACTCAAAATAGAGATCAACACCTCATCAAAGATGATCTATCGAAAATATCTGACAACATAAAATCGGAATCCTATCACCATTAACAATCATATGGATCGCATATGATTAGTAATTAGCGAATAATATCTGTAATTGAAGCATTATTTGATTATAGAGGCAAATTGGAAGTTTCATGTGATAGGAAACCAGATTAAAAAAGCAATCGAGATTTCAACACATACATGACCAATTTCAAGTCAATTAGTAAAGTGGGAGAGCAGATGTAGAGAAGTGAAGCAGTGGAGGTTTGAGAATCGAGAGAGAAGAAAGAAAGAAAGGGGGTTTTCGGCGGGGATGAGCTAGGGTTTTCAGCCGGTGGAAACAAAGCGGGCTTTTTAATTTTTGGATTTCATTTCCCCCTTGATGAAACGCACGTTTCATTAAAATTTATAAAGCGACATGGTTAGACGACACACATTTTATTCAAGGTGCCCTCTGTGTATTTTTTATTAGGCACTAATTTTAGGGCATGCAAAAATGCGTGTCCTCTATGCTTCATATTTTAGAAAACTGACATCAATTTTTAGGGCACACACAAATGTGTGTCCTCTATCAGCGCGTGTCATTGATTGCGCGTCGTAAAAGGCTGTTTTCTAGTAGTGTAATTATAAATCCATTATTAACAAAAAAACGTTTATTCCAAAATACATTTATCGAAAATCAGAGTAATATAAGAAACGCAGAATCCTCAATATTGTTGATGAGTGTGTACAATCATGTCTTCGCCTTCCTACGATCAACGATAGAACCTAAAAACATAAACACCTGGGTAAGCACAAAGTTTAGTGAGTTTTCCCCAAAATACTCGATACAACAAACGTATTATCATGCATACGAGCCCACACTCATCAGACTGGAATACTTTGGCCCAATCAGTTATCAGACTGGAATGCCAACATGCAACAGGTCCAATCAGTCATCAGACTAGAATACCCAGGGTTTGTCGGCATGCCGTCTTAACCCAACTGCTCTTCTCGAGCCTCCGTGCCTACACCTTACATGTAACATCCCAATTTTCTAGATCAAAAATTTCGTTTTTAATTAAGTGACTTGTAAAACAATTTACTGGAAAACATCATTGATTCATATCATTTCATAAAACATAGTTACGTATCTCAAACTATACCATTTTACCCCCTTGGCCTAACTTGACCATTCCTAAGGCCCAATTCTAACTTATTAATCCCAGTGCACCCATGGCCCATCATTTCATAAAACATAGTTACGTGTCTCAAACTATACCATTTTACCCCCTTGGCCTAACTTGACCATTCCTAAGGCCCAATTCTAAATTATTAATCCCAGTGCACCCATGGTCCATTAAAGGCTCCCTAAGGCCCACTAATGGCCCAATTTTCTAAATTGGTCCCAACACTTCAAATGGGCCTTTTCACAAGTCCAATAAGTCCTTAGCCCAAAATGAATAATCTCAAATGGCCCAATATGGCCCAAAAGGTCCAATACTTCTAATTCCAAATTCTCAGGCCTAGAACTATGCTCCACAGTGGGCCACAAGGCCTAATAGTCCACAACCAGCCCTCTAAGGCCCAAAATCCAAGGTATAGGCCAAACCGAGGCCCAAAACACGCCAATCCCATATATGTTGAGTATGCGGGGCGTACTCCTCTGTACGCTAAGCGTACTGGCTAAATGGTGTGTACGCTGCGCGTACCTGCATGTACGCACAGCGTACTTCCCTGTTAAGTCACTTTTCCTATTAAGTGCTTAGTACTCTAAAACAAAGGCTATAATTACAGATCCAAGTCCTCCTTAATGTCTTGATCCATAAAGCCGATCACTTGGTGGCTTGCAACCCACCAAATGAGCCCAACATTGAATAATAGCAACTAAGTCCATAGAAATGGCTAGATCTCATGCATGGTTACATAAAGGCCTTAAAGGTTGAAACTTTACTGCTAAAGGAAGGCTTTGAGCTCCAAGGGTGGCAACCCTAAGCTCAAAAACGAAGTTGCATGATAAAGATCCAACATTTGGACCTAAAAAGGTTCAAATCTCCATAATCCTAGATCTAGGCTTCTAAGAGGAAAGTTAGGAGCTTTATACCTCCTTTGAGTGCCAATAGATGAAGTAGCTCCAGATCCTTGAGCTCAAGATACTCAAGTTCTTCTTCTTCAACTCTTCTTCTCTTCTTCCAAGCTTTTCTTCACCAAAAATGAGCTCAAAAGGTCAAACACACACAACAATGGAGTATGAGGGAGTATTAAGGTTTTCTGAGGGTAAGGGGTTGGTAAGGAGGCCAGGGGCTATAATGGGGTATTTATATGTCTTAATCCCTAAAAATTAGGGTTTTGGCATCTGCTCACGTATGCAGCGCGTACGTGTGCGCGTCCCCCGCATCCTAGGCGCCTCTACGCCCCGCGTACACTGAGGCTACGCCCAACGTACGTCTTATGGGCAGCCCAAGTTCTCGGCCCACTTGCTTAAGGTTCATTCCAAAAATCTACTTGTCTCATTATTACTCCAATTAACTAATATTAATTACTTAAATTAAATAATACCTCGAGAGACGGATGTTACATTACAGCCGGCCCGCACCAAGTATCTTGGCCTACAACATATAGCACGACCACCTCAACCTATCCCACCACCATATGGCTATCCCACGTAAGATGTCGTGAGAAAAACCTAATGGAATCATTCATAAGTACTAAATGAGTACAAAAACAAAAATGACTTATTTTGCAACAAAAAAAATATTAAGGACTAAATGTGTACAAAAATATTAAGGACTAAATGTGTCCAAAGTGAGAAATATATTACCCTATTAAGTCATTTTTACCGCCTAACCTAGAGTAGCCGGTCATAAGGACTAAATGTGTACAGTTTAACAAGTTGAAGGGGTAAGTGTGGACGAAAATAAAAGTCAGTGACTAAATATGTACAAATCAAAAAATACATTACTTTTTTAAGTCATTATCCCAAAATTAAAAGTCATAAATTGTATGAGCGGACGTCGTGGAAATGTAAAGCGTCAAATTTTAGCAGTGAATTAATAGTGAATTTTTTACATGATCCAAGCTTTTCAGAAGATTGATATATTTTACCGGAGTTTCACCCATCTTTACCCAAATATAATAAAATGATCGTGGCAATTAAAATAAGGATATTCGATCGACGATGTTGAGTTTCATTTTGTGGGGTTTTGTTTCCTTATAAATCAATGTCAAATTAACTAAAAGCATATCTATCTCACTAAGCAGCGAATATTTTCATTTTAAATTTCTATATCTGCCAACTAAGAACGCAAAATTATAGTAGGGATTTTGTATATCACAACTATATATATGCTAGTATATGTCAATACAATTAATTAGGAAATTGTAAGATCTTGGTTTTTATTTTTAAATTAAAATCTTGTGATCTACAAGATGACGTGCTGGTACGAATCGTCTATAAAACATTAATAGGGTTAATTTGCTGTTTTTTTGTGGTTGGTACCCAGAGATGGAGAAACGGTTGAGAAGCGGCCCAGGATTAGAAGATATTCCGGAATTGTTCCACTGCATACAAATGCGATTGTCGATAAAAGAAGCCGCCCGCACCAGCGTCTTGTCCAAGTCATGGCTACATGCTTGGTCCACCATCCCTACCCTCAGGTTTCGTGAAGCCTATATGTCTGTAGTTAGCAAAGAACTAGAAAGAGAGATGTTTATGTTAGTCGACCGCACTCTCGTAAGGTATCTCCGTGACGACATACCAGTCAAAAGTATTGACGTTATTATCGACATTGAGAACCAGGAGTCCGCCTCTTTTGCTGAAAATTGGATCCGGCCAATGGCAATCAAAAGTTGTCTTCAAGAGCTTTCCCTGGGAATCCGGCGTAGTAGCGCCTCCCTTACGTTGCCAGATGAGATACTCTCGGGTAAAAACCTAATTAAGATGAGTGTTTCCAGTTCAATGATTGATTCTGTTTGGATGACTAGTCATCCTGTGATCAACTGTTTGTCGCTTCGAGAACTGGACTTGCAATATGTGCACATAAGTGAACAGGTACTTAATGACATACTGTCTACTTGTAGCTTGCTTGTCAAGATACAGCTTTTCTCTTGCACGGGCTTCAAGACTATCAAGGTTAAAAACCTTCATTGTCTTAGAGAATTAAGAATAGTTTCCGAATATGTATTAGCAATGAATACTGTTTTGGAAATCAGTGATGTCCCAAATATTCGCTCGTTTACGTTTATAGCTAAGCCTCTTCCTTTCGACCTGGATTCACTAGTAAGCGTTACAAAATTATCGTTAGGTCATATGATCGTGGACGATGCTTTTGTGAACATTATCCAATCGAAATTTCCTTTTCTCGAGAGTTTGACACTTGATCTGGAATTTTGGAAGTTGGAATGCTTCAATTTTACTTGTGTTACAATTAAGCAATTATCCATAGAGCTAGACCAATTCATTAAGCCAGTCAACATAAAGGTTTATGCACCAAATTTAATTTTTTTTCATTTCGGTGGCTTTACAATGCCTAGTCTCTTGTTTCAAGCCACCATTCTCGAGGAAATGGATCTTAATCTGTTCCTGATGCGTCCCCTTATAATTGATGAATCTTTCTTTCTTAAGATGAGGGAAGCATTGACTTTCTCAAGAAAGTGCAACATTCAAATACAGATCACAAAGTTTGATGACATAATACCATCGGACATCAACCTCGATGATCTAACAAGAAGGGTCCCATTTCCGGCTATCAACGTGCCACAACTGACATTTAGAACTTTTAGAGAAGACAAAGGCTTGGGGGAGCGCTTGCCATTTTTTGATGCATTATTTACGATTTGTCATCCAAAGCAGGTAGTCGCAGTTGGAGACTC